ATCTGTTCACAGTACTGATGAACATACTGTGTTTATTGGTACTTTCTCATCTGTTGATTTGCATGATTACAGTTTTTAAGTCTCATTTTCTCACAGAGGAGCAGAAATTGGAAGATCTGAAAATGAAGTGCTGAGGAGAATGTTCAGAGCTGTGGTACGTTGGGTGAGGGCCCCATACCATAAGGCAGTGGTGATTGAATTCGTCTGGTTCAGGATATGCATTTTATTGCGGTTATAACTTTCAGGTTATAATCTACCAGAGAGTAAGTTTCAGGAATTATATGTTTCAGAAATAATTGATGATTTGGCTGAGCATATGGACCGGACAGATAGCAGAGTGCGTAATGAAACAAGACAGGTCACAGTGCTGGACAGGAAGGATAAGACACTTTGTAAGTTTTGTTATTTAGGCGTATGGAATATTTTCGTCAGATGACAGTTGTTCCTCTAGTTGTTGTCTAGTTATTTACATTTTCTTGTAGCATATCTTTCATTGGTATCAGTGGGCTGGACCATTATATGCGTAGCTGATAGCACTTGCATAGAAGGATTTATTCTCACTATGAAGCACTTACAGTAAAATGTGCTTAAAATTTGGACTGGAGATTTATATCAAGTGTTTTCTTAACACTTAAATCATAACAGTTGCCCTTCTGCCTAAGCATTTTGTCATTAAGGCATATAGGCGTTTAGAGGCAAATTGCCACATATTATTAACCTTGAGAGTACTGTCTTCTGGGACTTAAAGACATTTTAGTTTCATAATTAGATACCAATGACCATCTTCTCTCAACATGGAGGCAGCAGATTCCTTTGAAGCATTGGTATTTTTCTATAAAACTGCATGGTGTCACATCTCAGAAGACTGTAATCTTAATATTCACTGCTGTGACCCTCAAATCTCATTTCTGTCCTTGGTTCTGGATGGAGGTAAGTGGTTAGCTTCGTGTTTTGGCCATGGCAGCCCTGGGAAAAGAGCCCCTAGTTGTTATTGAAGGTAGATTGAATGCAACAGTTGGTCTGTATGTGGGGGAAGAGAGAACTGTGTGCATCTTTCAACTGTTGAACCATGGTTGTCCAACTGATAAACAGTCACTTTAGCTGACTGAACTATTCTGGCTCTGTGTTGGGTAGGGAGGTTGTGTACAGAATTATTATGGCCATTCGAGATTCTCTTTTGTTCATGTTTAACTTCTTTCCTCTCAGACTGTCCTGTACCAGTTTTTGTATTTAGTGAAAAGGAATCATACATGATTCAATGTATGTATGAAGTGTGGCTGCAGGAAAAACAATTTTCACTATCCGTAGAAAGAGTAGTGACTTTACATTATTTTTATGTTAATTTCTGTGAATGTTTGTTTAAAGATATACAAAACAATCATGTTAATTAAGTTCATTGGTATCTCCTGAGAGTTTTAAGAGTTATTATTTCTTCTTGCATTCTATATGTTGTATTCCGCTCTTGTGACAGAAGTAAGTAATTGTTGCTGAGGGGTGAATAATCTTCCTGTTGTATTTATTGAAATATATACTATATTAAAAATGTTTTTAAATGGAAGTGCAGGTCTAGATAAGAAACGTATTTTACATCACGTATCAACTTTTTGGTGTATGATGACCAATTTTTATGAAAATTCATAGTCATATTTGAACTTTGTGTAAATCAGGGGCTATGTCAGGCTAATGTGAATCAAAATAAAATAAATATTTTTATATAGATGAAATTTGTTTAGTTATGAAACACATATGGATAATCAGTCATGACCTCCCCTTATGCATTATTTTTATGAACGTTTTGCAGAGAGCATGTAATGTATCCCTTCTTATTTTCACTTATGTAATGTCTGGGTAGATTGGTATTTAAAGGGTTAATAATATGGTTAAGCAAGGAGGGAAATGAAGAAAATATAACTGCAAGTATGAGGTATACCGGTGCAAACTTCACATGTGCTGTTTGTTCATATATTTATGTAGTTAATCTTTTCCATCTTGATTTTCAAAATCATGTGTAGCAGCTACAAATTAATTTGTATAAAAATAGACAAAAAACTATGGAAAAATATAATACTGAGCATGCAGTCATAACATGGTAGTAAATTTTTAAGTTCATGACAGAAAGCTCCCAACAGTGGACCTGTATGTGAAAATTATGTCAGAAGCCCTCTTACAGAGGACTGAAATGGGTTGCTGACAGTGTGAGAGCAGTAACTCACAGTAATAAAAATCAGTCTGTTCATTTGTTTTGTTTTCTTGTCTACAGGGTTCTGGGTTGTCATCATTTTGCTCTTCATTTCCATATTAATAGTTACCTTCGTGTGAATGAACACTGGAGTACAGGTATATAACTTGTACAGTGAAAACATTTTTAAACTATATGCATCAGTGGCTTGTATATGTGGTATAAGAAGCAAAACTGGAAAACTTCATCACGGTATACACGTATCATTTGCATAGTTGAGCACTGAGAACACAACGGAACCAGGGACAAATGCAATGACTCTCCCCCAAACTGTAGGGTAAAAGGGGAGGAGCTGTTGACTGTATCCCTGCTATGAATGAAATTTCCTGTTTAAAAGCACTCTGAACATCTTTGGTGTTTGATGGTAGTGGCAGAAGTAAATTATCTTGGCATATTTCAACACTCAACACTAGATGCTTCCAGATTTTGTAAATAAGGATTATGAGAGACAAAGAAATGGAATTTACAGGAATATTTTATCAGAAATCATTTTACATGAAGAAGCATGAAACATAATGGGAATCATTTTAAAGGAACTGTGTAGATAGATTCAAGAACAGAGTGAAGTGGAGAAAATTTGTGGCTCTCAGAAGATGTTCTTTGGGATGTGACACTGTGTAGTCTGGTAGATAATTATGATGTTTTTATATTTAATTGTTTGTTGCATCCTGTTGTGTATTTTAATGAAATATTAGAGTCAATTTTACTGACCCCACAACACGTTTTTTTATTTACTGTCACACTACATGTTTCAACCTCAAGAGGTCATCATCAGGTGTACAAACACAGTTGCACAATCACACGCAATCACATTTCGTTTTTCCACTTAGTTTTGATCCTGTATCCTGTTCAGGTCCATGCTCAAATAATATGTGTCAAGTTCTTCTTATAAAATATAAGTTAAAACTTAAAATTTAAAATTTAGTTCANGATTGCGTGTGATTGTGCAACTATGTTCGTACACCTGATGACCTCTTGAGGTCGAAACATGTAGTGTGACAGTAAATAAAAAAACGTGTTGTGTGGTCGGTAAAATTAAATCTAATATTTCATGTTTTTATATTGTTATGGAGGAACTTACTAACTTCATGTTAAGGACAGATGAACATGCAGTCAGTATGTTCCTCTGAAACACTAATAAAGATCTACTGGACTACACAATGTCACACCCAGAAGACTGTGAGAACGTCATATCTTACAGGTTGTTTTGTGCTGTGGAGAACAGTTTCATTGTGAAGCAAATACAGCATCTTATAATATGTGTGTGCAGGGGGTGCCAAGGGTGGATATACATGTATATTATTTTCGTGAGACTGATACCATAATTGTGATTTTATAGGTTCTTTCTTTTATGTACAGTTATAATAAGGGTTTCAAGTAGGGGATCGTACTTCATTGAGGAGATTTATGGATGCAAATAATGATTAGTTGGGCTGAGCCAAGAAATTAGTTCATGCATATACAAACATCTTGCTAGAGTAAAGATTACTGTCTTTTGGAATGTCTGGGGTATGATGTAGTCTGATAGGACCTTACCAGCCTTTCAGAGTAATCTGCCTCCTCCATCATGAGGGTAGAAGAATACAAGTAATAGGTTTTTCCAGAATGCTGTCACTTTTGTGACCACCTCTATGGTATAGTGGCCAGAGTTTCTGGCTACAGATTCAGAGGTCCTGGGTTCGTTTCCCGGTGCTACCAGATTATCTGAGAAGTAGTGGATCTGGAACAGGGTCCACTCAGCCTTGTGAGGATAATTGAGGAGCTATTTCAAGGAAATAGCAGCTCCTGTCTAGAAAACTGATATTAACAACCATGGGGATCCATTGCACTGACCATGCGACACCCTCTATCTGCAAAAGTTGGCACTAACTTCGCCAACAAGCTGCAGTCACTCGGTCGGTATAGTTCGCTTGCAGACTACAGGCTTCAGAGTTTTTCTGTCACTGTTGCACTAGACCACATGGTATCACAGACCAAAAGAGATTAATCTTCATAGGCATTGCCATGAGAACTTAAAATCTCTGTACTGGTGTATTAATCAGATATTTCTTTCACTTTAAGTTGGAACTAATTAGATGGCATTGCATATTGTATCCATCTCTTCGTGTAATGTACAGCATGAAACAGTGTCTTAAAGCAGGTGTATTCAAGACTGATTGCATAAGCTAAGTTTGAAGGTTTCTGATGATAGTGTGTAACAGTATTTTTTGATGATATTTTTAACATTTATTGTCCCATTTGCATTTTTCTAAACCACAACATTCCAGAGACTGTTTCCTTCATTAGATGGCATATTAAAGTACCTACTCCTTTCGGTCCCTAGGCCGAGTGGCCTTCTTACTTCAGTGTGTCATCTAACAAAGGAAACATAAACAGTTTCTGGAGCATTGCATTTTTGAAAATAACTGGTGCAGCATCTGAATTATCAGTCAAACATATTGATTTCCATATATTAATCAGTCAGGCAAATTCAATAAATATTTCAATTTCAGAGATGGCAGAAATAAAAATAGTGCAGTTATACATTTATACAGTTTGCTGCAATGGTCCAATGTTTTTGTTTTCATTTGATGGGTTATTTGTTGCCGTGATCAAGTAGACATCATCATCTTAGGTGTCGATTGTAGATACACTCTACTTTTCGAAACTTATCTCCAAGCTTCTGCTGTCTTTAAGGAATAATATGAATTATGTTAGTTCCACATTTTTATCACAATGTTTTATATAAATAAGCATTTGTATCTGCCATCTCTTTTCAATGACCTGTTTGCACTATGGTGTCCATGAAACATAATCGGTTCTGTGTGAAGATATTCTGGAATCCTATAACAATCCTCTCTGGCAATCAGCCAAATTACTGTAGAGAGAAAACTCAGTGTACCCAAGATCATCACTATCCATCATTCCTTATGATGGGGGCAGAGATTAGTCTCCACAACACTGAAGTTTTACTCTGCAGTGACATGGCAGATTGCCTAAGATATTTCCATTCCTTTCAGTTCCTGTAGCAGTTTGATGTTTTACATTCTAGAAGATTATGAAGAAACAGATTCAGATATCAGTTGTGGGGAGAATGATTATAACAGAATATACATGTGATTTCTCAGGTGGTGAATGTAAAACACTCACTGAAAATAACTGAATTTTTGATGAAACACATATTACTGTAGCAGAGAAAGGGCTGAAAATGGATACATAATGATATGTTGTATGTTTAGGAAAATCAAATTACTGTAGTTTATGTATGAAACAAAAGAAGAGGCTGCAGACATCAAAGAAAGGAAGGTTTCGGACCTCAGAACTTGGCACTATGTCTGAATTATAGGTGAAGCTGCTGGGACGTATGTGAGCAAAAATATGATAAGAATAGGTGAGGTTGTGTTATATCTCTGAGAAAGTGTTAATAAGGAGAAGCTATGTGAAGTAGGGTATGTCTTCAGGAACTGATTGTCAATGGACTGGATTCATTTGGCTTGGGTCAGGGGACCTGAGATTGGCTCTTGTCAACACAGTAATAGACCTTATGGTTTCATAAAATGTGAGGCATTCTTTGACCATCTGAGCAACTATGAGCTTCTCAAGAATGAATGTGCTCCATTTAGTTAGTTACACAAGAATATATACATGGTACAGACTGGATTTCTGAATGCAGACTTGGGTACCAGTGATTTCAGATTGCTGAAGCTTCCATAGAGAAAGCATACTAAATTTGACAAAAGAAAAATCATAAGCAAATATCCATATATGTTATAGGATTTGAGGTTTTTGCATGAGTGGTTATTCAGACTTCTGTCTTCTGGGATATAACAACGTATAGCGTCAACTGATATTCTGGAGGAACATCTAGCATCCGTCTTCAGGGCTGAAAAGTGAATCAGGCAAGCAAAGCTTGCTACCTGCTTCACGCTGGTTTCCTACTTTCTCACCATTTTTATGGCATCTTTTGTACCATTATTAGTCCCAGTTCTAATAGGTGACCTTTTCTAGGACATTGTCATAAGAACAGTCCTGTCAGATGTCTCATCTAGTTCCTGTTTGACTAATAATTCTATTTTGTTGGAGGGTTCATGTGCTTTTATCCAGGTATTTTTGGTGTGGTCTGTTTAACCAGTCCATAATGGCCCACTTGGGAACTCCTTCCGAGATAACTTATACTGGTTAAATTCCATTTAATAATAAAGAGAAATTTTTAGTTTATAATCTGAACATATAGGCATAGGGGCAACTTAGTGAAAAGTAAGAAAAGTGGATGAAGAAATTATTGCATACTGCTTAGTGATCACTTGATTTCCCACAAAATTAATCCACCAGACTGCAGCTGAATGACATATTGTTAAGAAGAAAAGGTGAAAAGTGCTCTCACATTATGAGCGACATTACTCTGGAATTGAAGTCCACAATTCATCAGCATTTACTTATGATGGAAATAAACTTGGCTTCCTGAATGTTGCAGCTAAATAATCTCATTACTACAGAAGTTTTTTCTAGTATATATGAAAGTAAAACGTTTGTTTCCTACTGCAGACTTAATAGGGAACACCTGAAGATATGAAATTTGCTATGTACTCTTGCCACTATATTGCTTATGGTAACCAAGGCTGACAGAGCCATATGCAAGTATTATGATAGAAGTTTTGGTTGTTACTTGAATCCTGGCCGCGTCATAGCTCAAGCGGTTAGTTGCTGCCTTCCCACTGTGGCGGGCCGGGTTCAATCCCGGATCTGGTCAAGTGGGATTTGTGGTGGACAAAGTGGCGCTGGGGCAGGTTTTCTCCCCTGCCAATCTTCATTCCACGAATTGCTCCACAATCACCCTCACCTATCATCTGGGGCTGGTACAATAGGCCAGAAGTGGCCGCAGTGCAAGGGACTTAGTCCCACCCCACTAGCAATAAAAAAAAGTACTTGAATCCTCATTTCCAATTCCTTTTTTACACTTTCATAGTCAGACATTTATATGGTGCAGTAACCGTGTCATCTTGGAGTCTTATGCAATGTAAACAAATCTGGTAAGTTTTCATGATTGAAGTTTAATATTCCCTCACTCTCGCGAGTCCCCAGTAATTTCACGACTCTATGTGTTTGCTTCATAGTTGAAAGAGCAGCCATATGTACAAAGATGCCATTCAGCCTGTGTTGAGGT